CTTCTAGATATAGGCTTGAAATGTACAGTTATTATCAAGGTGATAAAAGATCTACAACCATCCAGGCAGAAAGAGAGAAAAAACAATCACCTTTCACCCGTTAGAATGGCTATCATAAAAAAGGCAAGAGATAACTAATATTGGCAAAAATGTGGAGAAAAGGGAACCCTCGTGCACTGTTGGTGGGACTGTAAATTGGTGCAGCCACTATGGAAAACAGTACAGAGGTTCCTCAAAAAATTAAAAATAGAACTACCTTATGACCCAGCAATTCCACTCCTGGGTAATTATCCAAAAGAAATGAAATCTGGATTTCAAAGAAATATCTGCTCTCCTATGTTCATTACAGAATTCTTTACAACAGTCAAGATCCAGAAACAACCTAAATGTCTATCAACAGATGAATGGATAAAGAAAATGTCACACACACACACACACACACACACACACACACACACACACTGGAATATTATTCAGTCATATAAAAGAAGGAAAACTTGTCATTTAAGACAACATGGATGAATCTGCAGGACATTATGCTAAGTGAAATAAACCAGACACAAAAGGACAAATACTGCATAATCTTATTGATATATGGAATCTAAAATAGTCAGACTCATTGAAGCCGAGAGTAGAATAGCGGTTGCCAGGGGCAGAGTGGAGGGGGAAATGGGGAAATGTTGGTCAAGGGGTGCAAAGTTTGAGCTATGCAAGATAAGTAAGTTCTGGAGATCTAATACAACACAGTGACTGCAGTTTACGATACTGCATGTACTGTATACAGTAAGTCCTCACCTAGCATTGTCCATAGGTTCTTGAAAACTGCGACTTTAAGTGAAACAATATATAATGAAATTAATGTTACCATAGGCTAATTGATATGAACTCAATATCAATTAGCCTATGGTAAAACTGATTAAAGTCGCAGTTTCCAAGGTCCTATAGATGAGGACTTACTGCCCTTGAAATTTGCTAAGAGGGTACATCTTAAGTGTTCTAACCACAAAAACAAAAACAAAACAAAACAAAAGAGAAAGAAAACTATCAATATATGAGGTGATGGATATATTAATTAGGTTGATTGTTGCAATAATTTCACAATAGATACATGTATCAAAACATCATGTTTTACACCTTAAGTACATACACAATTTTTATTTGTCAATTATTCCACAATAATGCTGAAAATTAAAAAAAAACTTCAAGAAAGAAAAGTCTTACTTATCTGTCTTCATCAGTTTTAAATTAAAGGGCAGAAATTAAAAAAAACAATATGTAGAGTTTTAATGAAAAAGACTCCATTCCCTACAAGTGGTTTTGTTTACATATGAAGTGTCACATGGGCAGGATTTAGAAAATAGATCGCTCAACCTTAAAGGAGCATTTGGAGACGTGGACTGGCAGGGATGGTCAAAACCATTTAGTAAAAATTTAATTTTAGCTAATTCTTATAAATGTTATCACAAAGAGAGATCAAAAAAAATTTAAGTCTTAAATTAGTAAGACAAACAGACACCACAATGTTTGAAATTAAGATAAAATACTGGGTCTGAAATTCCAGACGATATTCCAGAGAAAAGGTTATCAGTTTCTTTTCATATATATATGAAACTGTCAGATGGACACTGTCAGAAGATCTAGTTTTACTCTTAAGGTTGTCAAATAAGGAAATATTAACTCAATATTTGTTGAAGTTCATATACAATTACGAGTGTATTTTTCTTAATTGAGGAATTACATTCAATTGTGAAAATAAATCTTAATTTCTGTGGATTTTTACATATATTTATATATGTAACCCTCACCTGCATCAAGTTACAGAACATCTCCAACATTCTAGAAGTCTCTCTAGTACCCCTGCCCAATCGGGGGCATCCCTTTCCAATAATAAATACTATTCTGATCTCTGTCATCACACATTGTCTTTTTTACTTCGTGTAAATGTAATCATACAGTGTGCACTCTTTAGTATCTGACTTCTTTCTCTCAACGTTATGTCTTTGATATGAAGCCATGTTGTTGCTCTCATGGGTAGTTCACACTTTTTCACTGCTGTGAAGTATTCCATTGCATAAATATATCACGATTTGTTTACCCATTCAACTTTTGATGGACATTTAGATTATTTCCAGCTTTCAGCTATTAGGAATAAAACTTCTGTGATCATTCTTGTACATGCAAGAACCCTATTTCTGTTAGGTGTATATCCAGGAGTAAGATAAGTTGCTTAAGGTGCTGTGTAGCTTAAGCAAATACTTTTAGGTATTTCCCTCAAACCAGCTGTCTCTGGGTGGTGAACACACAATGTGATATATAGATGATGTATTACAGAATTGTACACCTGAAACCTATGTAATTTTACTAACAATTGTCACCCCAATAAAATTTAATTCAAAAAAAACAAAACAGCTGTGCAGATTAAAGTCATCACTTGCAATGTAAGTATTCTAAGTCTCCATATCCTTGATCATACTTGGTAATGTTAAACATTTCAGCCACCCTATCTCCCATAGGATTTTTAAAAAGAGTTTTGCTTTCTAAATGCTAGAGAAAAAGAAAATCATGGAAAGCAACTGAGTCCAGAAAAATAGCATACAGGAGAAATAACCAAAAATTCCATAGAGTAAAATAATAATAGCAAAAATACCAAAGAGCATCTCCTCTAATTATGATAGTGCCTTGTAAACCCCGTGTTGAACACATCAGACATCTCTGCTCCTGCTTTGGAATGTCTCTCTAGAACATGTATTGATGGCTCATCTATCTTTACAGTTAACTACCAATTACACGTGAACTTATTGCCTAGACTTATACAAATGTACTTTTCATTGCCATACTGGCAAACAAACAAGCAAACCAAAAATCAGCAAATGGAGATTCTCTGAAAGCCGACGTCAGAGTGTAACATGAATATATAACCACAGGAGACCAAACCAGACCAAGCCCTGCTGCTCCATGTGCCCAGCCAAAATAGAGCAGCTGCAGCAATGAAACCAGGCCGTATCCACTGGAAATTCTGGTTGTTCTTTCTGCTCAGTGTCATCAATCGCAGCACTTGATTAACGTAATAGAAGGTTATTCACTTTCTTCTTAGTTAGCAAACTGTTAAACTCTCATAAACGTAAGCCCTCTAATATTTGCATAGGTATAGCTAAGATCATATAACAAGGTAATCGGAAAATTAGTTTGCTGCGTCATGAATAGGTGATTCCAATTCTAAATCCAAATTTAATTGAAACCAATATTTTCCAGGTTCCCTTTCATTATTATGAATATTTCAAAATTTATATCCAGCAACGTAAGTAGTATTTCTCTATATCATTTCCATTTCAAAGTTAAACAATATCAAACTTAAAGAGGTTTTAAAACAACACAGTCAGGTCATCCTAATTTATAGAATGTAGATAAAATCACATACATCTCTATTGCCTGCTAAAACTGTTTTTGCTTCTTTTAACACTAAAAACATTTTAAAGTGTGTGTTCTTCCTATTCAGATTGGTCTTTTTTTGGAAAAACAGGTCATGTACCCAGTGCTGTGGCCACATGATTTAGGGTATTTTTACAATGCTGGAAAATGTTCAGAAAGATTTCATCGGCTTAGCTACTTCCCCTAATGCACTCAATACCAGTGATTACATGCTTGTTGCCTTTTTCTATAAAAAGAAACTTCTGAAACAGGAAAACATTTACCATTGCATGAATATGTAAGTCACGTTCAATGCCAAAATCATCATTACCTTCGATAATGCCATGAACTCTTGCTTCCTATTGTGGCATCTTATAAATAGCTCAGCTAATTTTTAATGTATTCCTTCTGTATCTCCAATGCATTACCTTTATTTAATCTTTAGCAGTAATATCTAATACACATACAGTGAAACGGAATGTGATTTCCTTTTGTCACTGACAGTAACAGATAGTTATTGATAATTATGATCCATGTGTAGCTCCTTCTTTCATTAGCAGAGAAGAGCATACAATGCCAGATCAACTGCCGGAGCAGTTCTGTGTCATCAATCTCAAACCACTTGCCAATGTCGTGAATGTGCATATCTCCCAGAGTAATATATCTGTGTCATCTCATTGTCATATATACTGAATTGTTTAGAAAAGCAAACTAGAAGCGAAAAAACAAATATGAAGAAACAAAAAAAATTTTTTTCTGCCCTATATGAAATGTGAGATAAATGGATATTTACTGAGTCTGTATTTTCCTGCGTATGTGTATACATTACTATAGCTATGACCCTGAGATCTTATCATCATCAGAATCCACTTTTCCTAATTAAATTCTCTCAGAGGGACTATTTGGGGTTCAAACCATCTTTCTTAATGGACACACCAAATAACCACATGGAACGCATAGCAAAGCTATAAACAACATCCCTATATTATTTGAATGCAAGAGATTAGCCATTAAAAAACAGTTATGGGATTATGAAAAGAATTTCTGAAGATCCAAATATATCAAACCATTCTTCATTCTCCCCTTTGTCAGCATATTTATTATGATACGGTCATTTCGCATGAAAAATAAGAGTACATTAATGAATGCTAGTAAAATAGAAGAGAATAGAGAATCATGAAAAATCATCTATATGCCACCTCTTTCAGAGCCCTTTGACAAAGCCACTTAAATTCTCTACGCCTTAGTTTCCTCACTCAATTTTTTTAAAGACTGAGAATCAAATGGCATAATATCTTTAGAATCACTTTATAGAACTGTAATCAATGATACATCTGTAATGTAATTGTTAGCTGCCTAGTTTCAAATCTTACCATTCAAAACAGAGTAAGAATCCCAAGTGGCCAAGACTTTCAAAACAAATGCTTGTAGAATTATGCAATACATCTTGTAATGTGTGTTGAACAGGACAGACTAGTTACAGTGTGTTCCGTACAACCTCCAATATCAGTGACTTAACACAACATGCAAATTTCCTTGTACATCTGGGCAACTCTTCAGGTCAGCAATATTTCATGTAGTGACATACATACCAATCCAGGCTGAAGAAGGCTCCACCATCCTCTCCCTGTACCATCTCAAACATGCGGTCTCCTAGGTTAATAAGAAAAGGAAAACATTGGAGAGTCTCGCTCTGGCAGTTAAATCCTTCCATCTAGAAATAAGCCAAGACCTAAGTAACTTTCACTCACAGTCCATCAGCAAAAACTAGTCACAATAGACCCACATAACTGCAAAAGAGAAAGGAAGCATCATCCTTTTGTGTTTCTTGAATGGGAACTGGATACAGGAGAGCATCACAAGTGTCACCTACAAGTTTCATTCATTATGGTAAGCTCCTAAATTCAATTGCCTATTAGGTGATTTAATATAACCATTTCTACCTTTCTGTTCTGTACAAGTGGTTCAATACCTGTTAAGATAAATGTGCTTGTAAAATAAAGATCACATTTTAACCTACAAATATAATTCAAGGTGTTTTTTTTAAAATTCAAGTTTATTGGGGTAACAATTGTTAGTAAAGTTACATAGGTTTCAAGTGTACAATTCTGGAACACATCATCTATATATCACATTGTGTGCTCACCACCCAGAGTCAGTTCTCCTTCCATCACCATATATTTGATCGCCTTTTCCCTCTTCTACCACCTCCCTCCCCCCTGACCCTTTGGTGACCACTAAACTACTGTCTGTGTCTATGAGTTTTTGTTTGTCTTGTTCCTTTGTTGCTTTCAGTTTTATATTCCACATATCAGTGAAATCATGTGGTTCTCGGCTTTTTCTGTGTGACTTATTTCGCTTAGCATTATAATCTCAGGATCCATCAATGTTGTCGCAAATTGCACTATTTCATCTTTTCTTATGGCAGAATAGTGTTCCAATTTGATATTTGTTCTGTACCAACTTACTTTATGTCTTAAAACAGGCATGGGGATCCCAGGCACCTCAGGTAATTTTATTGCCACAAGTAACAACACAAAACCTTTCCATTTCCCAAAGCCCCAAAAGCAATCCGCATGCACAATGCATATGCACGTGCGCGCGCGTGCGCGCACACACACACACACACACACACACAGCTGCAGGCAATGTGCATGCCCATTTAAATGGAACAATGTAAAACATCTTCTGAAGACACTAAGGCACTATTACAGAGGACTGAGAGGCAAGCAACAGTGTTAGAGAAATGTCCATGCTCTAATATAAGTTTAATGAAACTTTGCAACATTTCTTTCCCAAAGTGGATAGGCAGCACACCTGAGGGGTATCATGATGAGGCCATAGCACAGATGAAGAAGATTATGACTACTAAATGCATGGATATATATACATAGTCATGTGTTGGCTTAGCAGGATCTCTGAATGAGAACTGGTAAAGCAAGTTCCAAAACTATGTACATAGATAATATTTTATAATACAGAAAATTTGGTGTGGCTCATTTTTTACGTCTTGGTATAAAGGCAGAGTGTGATTGCTGTAGACCCCCAATGTCAGCCATAAAGATCTTAAGTTCATGTTGATCTTAAAATCATATCATTTTAGAGAGGTAATCTGAAGGGAGCTTTTCTAAGGGCCCAGTCAGAATTGAGGACCTTATTTGTTTCTGTTCTCCAGCAAATACTATGAATGGCGACTCTAATACCTCCCTGATCTTGCATTTTAAATAGCTGACGTCTCCAATACCAAACTGTATTTAATTTGCATCCTTAAATGTGAAGTCTCAATTAATCTCCCAAATGTAGTGGATGCTCAGTAAACATTTCTTGAATGATTGAATGTGCTAGGAGACTAAAGACATGTGACAGACAATATTTAGGCTAAATGCTTTGCTCCTAGATTAAACTTGAGCTCTACTCAATAGTAACAGTTTCTTGATATGAGAAAGCTGAGTTATGAAGAAGGACTAACCATCTCCCTACAATTATGAGGAATATAAGTTATAAGAGCAGGGGCGCTGGAATCAGACAGCCTGGGTTCAAACCTTGTCTCAACCAGTTTATTCTTGTGTGACATTAGGTAGGATACTTAAGTTTTCTGTGTCCCAATTACTTCATCTTTCAAATGAGGATAATACCATCCACTTGACAGATTTGTTCAAATTATAAACAGTTATAATATATGTAAAGTACTTAGAAAACTTCATGACAAATTGAAGCACTCAATAAATATTTGCTTTTATTGTTTTTATTCATTAAACTTTATTGGGGGTGACAATGGTTAGTAAAGTTACATAGGTTTCAGGCATACAATTCTGTAATACATCATCTGTGTATCACATTGTGTGTTCACCACCCAGAGTCAGTTCTCTTTCCATCACCATATATTTGACCCCCTTTACCCTCATCTACCACCCGCTCCCCCCTTACCCTGTGGGAACTACTAAATTGTTGTCTGTGTCTATGAGTTTTTGTTTGTTTGTCTTGTTCCTTTGTTTATATCCCACATATCAGTGAAATCATATGATTGTCAACTTTTTCTGTGTGACTTATTTCACTGAGCATAATAATCTTTGTATTCTCTTCCAAGGTGATTCCTCTGACATACCTAGGACATTCTTAGTCCTCAGGCTTGCAATTAAGGGACCACCCAATGGGAGCATTGCTACTACTAGAAGACATGGTCTTTTCTATTAGAAAGAAGAGATTGGGAAGGACAATCCCAAATTAATTGCAACTACTCACAAGGCAATTTGAAAGGGTCCATTGTTGAGGGCACCATTTGTCCTTTAGCAGGCTAGGCCTGTTTCCCATTAATTCCCCTCTCCTTCACACAAAGGTCCCTAAATTTTGGAAGAGGGAAGAAGTTGAGGATCATGCAATCTAGTGATCAATAATACAGCATCTCTACCAAAATTTTACACAATTGTTAGGTAAAAATTTCTTGATATTTGGAGGACCAATTTGTAACTTGAACTAAAGAACACTCTTGACACTCCAAAAATTGAAATAAGTACAAACTTACGTTCTCAATGAGTTAAAATTACAAAAGCAGGTTGTGTCATCTTCTTTTGTTCTATGAAAGCAAACTATTCAGCTATTTAATATTAGACATGCTCAATCTAAAATATTGGGATATTTGATCTAAAAAGGACAAAAAACTTATTGTCTTCCTAATTATCAGCTGAGAACAATTGAAAATGACTTAGCAGTATTTGCTGAACTGTACTGAAAAGTTCTAATTAATTTGATCTGCTGAATAGAGACCAACTCAAAATCAAATTACCAATTTGATGTGAATAATAAACAAGCCTCCCATTTTTATTGTACTAAGTAAATCTTGACTTATTTATATAAGTGTCTAACATGTTTAAATTTTTTTTAAATATGTATTTTTCTCTATATATGAAAATTCATGGCAACAAAATCACACTTAGAATTAGACTGAAACACCATTTTTGTTTATGAAGAAGTAAAGTGGTCCAGAAACTGGCTTACTATTTGGCTTCTCAAAACATTTCTGCATTATGGGGAAAGTTAGTTATGCAAATTTCATGAGGTTTTTCAGAAATTACCCAAAGGCAATTTTTTCCTCTGCACTATACCTCATATCTAACCTGTATATTTCATGTCAATAATTAACATTTTTCATTGATTTTTATTGGATCTATTGATTAACCTATTCCAGGGCTTAAATAAAATAATATTTAGTGCATCTTTTCTGTGCTTCTAATTTTTTAAAGGTAGAATACGGAATTTACATATAGCTAAACAATGAAAACTAATATTAATAGCAATTAAGATACAAAAAGTTGTATTTAGTCAGATGGGAAATTTTGAAGGCCAGTAGATCTCTCCCTATCAGAGCTTCCACCTATGCAGAGCACCCAAACTGGAACAGATGTTTTGGGTAAGAAGTAGGAAAATGCATGCAGCTGTGCCAAATATTTACCAAGCATTCATTTATGAATTTTGCATGTGCCAGCTCATTTAATTGTTCCAAAAATATCCTTCGACCTATTTAATTTTCTCCCTAAACTAAGGTTATGAGACTTAGCAAAGTACACAATGCCCAGTTAAATTTGAATTTAAGATACACAACAAACTATTTTTTAGTGTTAATGTGTCCCATGGGATATAGTTATACTAAAAAAAAAATAGTTGTTTATCTGAAAATCAAATTTAACTGCAAGTCCTCTATTTTATCTGGAAATCCTACCCTAATAGGCAGGTAAATTTTATAGATGACAAAATTGAGACACATACACAAAAAAAATTATAGAAGACAAAACTGAGACACATAGAGTTTGAATGTCACACTGCAGCAGTACAAGGGTTCAATTCCGGGTCAATCTATCTCCAAAACCCAAACTTGACTACCCTACTCCACTGTCTTACGTCACAGCAATTCTCTGGATCTTATTTGTTTATAATATATAAATAAATAAATATATATATATATATATATATATATATATATATAAAGTATAAATGAAAACTCAGCTCAACGTTTTTGAGCGGTTCTTGTCATCCATGTTCACCCAAGTTAATCATCTCAAAAGCTTTATGCCAATCGTATGATCTCATGACATGACTTTGAGAACTTTTCTTGAAACTTGCTTTGTGCTGAACTCTCAAGTTTTCACCATATTTTATTCTGCTCTCATAAAAGATATCAATGTGGAGTCCTGAGGCACATGACCTTCCAAATGTCTCTAGCAACTTAATTCATCTGGGATCAAAAAAAGTGACATCATACTCAAAGGCATTGTAGGTGATTTACTTTTTTGAATAAAAATGGGTAAAATTGGAGAGATTTGCAAGACTTAGGACAAGGTAGAAACAGTCCCTTACTTGAGGTATGTTTTTGAACGAGGGTAGAAAGACATTTGATATTGAGGTAGGGTTTGTCATATACTAAAGAACGGAGCCCATGAAGGTAAGCCTCATAAAGCTCAGAAGAGAGGGGATGCTGAGATTCAAGAGGTCTGGGCTCTACCTTATTAGGAAAAACAACAACTCCACTTCGTACCCTCCATTTATCACTGTTTCATGACTTAGGTGTTCATAAAAACCTTGTAGGGAGCTTCCTTAAAATGCAGACTCCTGGGCATTAAAACTCAAAAGTGTAATTGAAGAGGTCTAAGATGAGGCCA